GCAGTGTCTCGTTCCCTACTCAGGGAACCATGGTTACATAAGTAACCTGAGACGTTCTTACCTCTATATTGCTCTTTTTTTTCTGCTCCTCTTTGCGTCGCTTCCTGCCTTGTGCCCCTGATAGTTTTCTTTCTTCACTATTTTTTTTTTTTTTTACAAATGATCCTTTCAGAGCACATAAATGGCAAAACTATGTGTGCGCCATGCATAATTAATGCGTTATGATTATGTATTATAATTACGTCATGACGCAGAAAGTGTTTAAATTAGTCCAACATGACATGTCAAATCTTATGATTTTTCGTTGATGTCAATTTTATTTTATTTTAACATTATTTTAATCAGTTCGATGATCGATCAGTTCTAAAATTTTTATTGTCAGTATTTGCTTAATATACGGGTGTAGGAGCGCACGATGGTCACAAGAGGGACCGAGAAAAAAACTTTCGTGCGGCGCCCCCCAGTCATTTTGCGCCCTAGGCAACTGCCTATGCCACAGGCCGGCCCTGGCTATGATGATGGCAATGAGCGGGAAGTTATAGTTCTCAAGGAATTTGTTTGTTCCTTCTAGATAGACTACTGAATATTTTCATCAGAAAGCATGATTTAAACAAGTACTACAACACTTATTCACACGCAATTGCTCTCTCAATAATGCATTTAAACAAATGTAATCTTACAGTGCTACTTCATCTGTATCCAATTTCGAATGAGCAGAAATCTGTAAGAAATGCATCGATCCGTAGGTAAAATAACTGACGAAAACGTACTGTTATTTCATCACAAACAAAATTTGCACTGCAAAAAGCAGCAATTATACCTTTTAATGCTGACAACCATGTTATTAGCTTGCCATGTGGTAGGAAAAAAGTTTGCACACTAGTGTTCCAATAAGCCACTTTGAAACTCTGCTGTTATTTTATTTTTTAATATACGTTATGAACAGAACCGTGATATTTCAAAGAAGCTGAAATACTTTAGATACGGAGCACAGTCTGTCACAGACAATTCTAGTTGCATTATCCTTTGACTATGTTCTGGCCCACCATCTAGTGGCGGATTTTTTATTTTTGGCCCGATGCCAAACTTAGTTGCCGACCCCTGGCTGTAGAGTGCTAAGATGCATTTTAAATAATTGCAAAAAGCTTCATTGGCCAAAAAATGAGCTTTTCACACACACACACACACACACAAATTCACTGTTTTTTGATCCTGACACAAAATGACCAGCTAACATTAATTGACTAATCATATCAGCAGCACATGTGAAAGTGTGAATGAGTAGCCTACTAGTCAGGTGAAATCACTGTCATGCTAATTAGATTGTAAGAGCAGACTGATTGCTATTAAAGGAGGAAAGAAGCCAGTGTTGCCAATTTAGATTTAGCGACTTCACCGCCCCTTTTGAGACTTTTTTCAAAAGTTTAGGGACAAATATAGCAACTTCTTGGACAAACCTTATCTAAGTTCTCATCTTGCCCACTAATCTATATTAATCTTTATATAGATCAGTGAATTTGCCGTCATGATGTCATCTAGTGACATTTAGTTACCAGTTTTAGCTACTTTCAATTGAAAGCAGTTGGCAACACTGACTGTGAGTCAAATCATGGCATCTTCGCTCGTCATATGCACAAAACATGTCCTGCTTCATCATAACCAAAGCTATGTATTAGTTTATACAAATAACTCATAACCTCACCATATCCAAAGTTATTTCTGTCATGCTAATTAGATTGTAAGAGCAGACTGATTGCTATTAAAGGAGGAAAGAAGCCAGTGTTGCCAATTTAGCTACTTTGTAGCTAGATTTAGCGACTTCACCGCCCCTTTTGAGACTTTTTTCAAAAGTTTAGTGACAAATATAGCAACTTCTTGGACAAACCTTATCTAAGTTCTCATCTTGCCCACTAATCTATATTAATCTTTATATAGATCAGTGAATTTGCCGTCATGATGTCATCTAGTGACATTTAGTTACCAGTTTTAGCTACTTTCAACTGAAAGCAATTGGCAACGCTGGAAGAAGCACTTCCAATCATTGTGTTCTTGTTAACAATGGTTACCTCCAAAGAAACACATGCAGCCATCATCGCTTTGCGTCAAAATGGCTTCACATGCAAGGAAATTGCTACAAAGAATATTACACCTGAAAGAACCATTTACCGGATCATCAAGAACTTCAAGGTGAGGTTCTGAAGAACAAGGATCAACACTGTAAATATTGACTCATTATATATATTTTTTTGCCAATAAAAGCCTTTAAAACTTATGCTTATCGTTGGTTTTCAGTATACCATAGAAACATGTGGAAAAATAATCTACAAATACTGAAGCAGCAAACTTTGCAAAACATAAAATTGATGTCACTGCCAAAACTTTTGGCTATGGCTGTATATAATGTGTGTGTGTGTGGATATATTTCTTATTATTATTATTATTACTCTAATATTATTTGCGTATTTTATAATTTTTTTTTATTTAAAAGTGAGCTCTTTATATAAAGAAAACTAAGCCTATTTTTGGCTTAGTGAATGCATATTTTCATGACAATTAAGCATTACTGCAATAAGTTCATGCTTTTCTATCACATTGTATGTATATGTATACTGTATGTGTGTGTGCTTATTTGCCATGGAAATATCAAAATGGAAAAAATAATGGCCTTAAAAATCTGTCTCATTGGTTTATGAATGGTATATTGCTTTTGGGTGTTGTGCGACCCCACAGACTGATCCTAAACCAGCTCATTCTGCTAGCACAGGGCCCCTCCACCTCCCAGAGCTACTCGTGTCTGTGCTGCCAACATTCTCCCTCCCCCTCCAGCCTTATCTTCCTCTCCTGTTTACCACTGGCTCACTAATGGAAAAAATTTGCAGCAATATGCAAAAAAGCTGCTAAGGCAAATGCAGGTTGCCCAGGCAACAAGGAGGTTATATTCCTGGGCGCTGATGGAAATCAGTGTAGCGCGCCTAGCTCTCGCATCCTGCCGAAAATTAGATAGGAGAGGAAATAAAACAAAGAAAGAGACGTGGAAGGAGTAGGAAGGGTCCCAGGGGCCAATTCTACTTCAAGCCATATTTAGTTTTCATCAGCAGCCCTGGCAGACGTGCTGGCTCTCAGTACTTTGTGTTTCTGTGGAAATAGACGAAGAAACACCGCAACAAATAACTTCACTGTGAGACATAAAGTGATGGTGTTATATTGCGTATTTTAATTAAAGTGTCTAAAGATTCACATGTAGCTACTTAAATTTTGCAGTATTAATATTCATTTTTGGAAATCAGCTATATGTACTAACAGTATGAGGTTAATTTTATTGCAGTCATTTGAGGGTTTAACCTGCTCAGCTTTGAATGTAATAAAAAAAAAATCTAGTCTCCATATGTAATCTTGTTTCATTAACTGGCAGGATATGGAATATGCCATCAGGCATCTGCGGAAACACGGAGGACCACAAGTATGTCATTGAAAAATCTAGTCAAGTAAAGTCGTGGAAGGTACTAGTGAATGATGAAGAGAGGTAAATTAAAATGAGAAATGTCAAATAAGGATTTTGCCTGCAGATATTCTTGAAATTTCCTTTCATGTGTATTTTTTAGCTTCATTCTCCTGGCACAGCTTCAGAAAGTTTCATATTAAACAAGCTTGAGGATATAAAAATGATGTTCTTCAGTCTAGTTTTAAATTCCACCATTAAAAAATAAATAGTATAACTAAGCTATTAATAGTCAGGTCCAGTGTTAATAATATGTAATATCTCCATAATAATATCAATATCTTATTAGTTGCACCTATTTAGAGAAATGTACAATTACACCCAAGACATCCACTGAAAAGCAGTTCAAGGTGAAAACATCTGTAGTGAAAAAAATGATTCTCCTCTATGGCGAAGCGCTTTCATTTAGTTTCATTTATCATTTTTTGAGCAATTCAGTATTTCATTACTTTTTCACTACATTTTCATACAATCTGAAGTATTTAATTTTCGATATTCATTGTCCGTATTCATGTGCTTTTATGGCGTTAAAGTTAATATCTTTGAGAGCAGCCACTTTAACCAATGTAACCCTGCTCTTTATATCAAAAGATTTTTATGGATTAACTCTCAATATTTGACTTCCCTTTTTCTTACAGCTTAATCGAATCCTTAAATGAAATGTCTGATTGGCTCTGAACAGCTCGGCTCTTTTTCTCAGCTGGAGTTTTCCTGCGGGAAACGGGAGATTGCTAAACTTCAGTCTGCTTGCCTGTTGATATTAAACAATAAAGGGAAACACCATTGTCTGTAGAAGTGCAGTGTTTATTAAAGGGGAATAAAGGCATATGGGCCTCAGAACGGTGAATATGTTGCTTTATTTCTGTCCTTACTCCTTCTCTTTATAGTGCACTTTTTTATGTTGGATTTCTGGTAATATGTTAAGGTAGTGACATTTTCTCTTGCTGAAATGACATGCTTTAATTAGCGACGTATGTGTGCTGAGCTGCATAACTGAAATCTATTCATTACGTGAATATTTATATCTCTGTTGACCACAGGAAAGATTCAAGCTGGCAGACACTAAATAAAGACATAGGGGGGAAAGTGTATTGAGAGCAGACAGGACTCTAAACAGGTGATCTTAGAAACTGTGGGAGGTTCATAACTATCACTCATCCACAGCTTTGACATTTCTAATTATGCATTTCGTATTCCTGCGCTGTTGTTCTTACTTCCACCCCTCTCCCACTCTTGACTTCTTTTCCCTCTCAGATTGTAATTTCCACAGTACTATTTTAGATGTTTGCAATGTACTAAATGAATTTGAATTGTCACAAATGGCAGTCTATAAAAATATTAGCAGATACAAAGATACTAAATAATTTTTCATAATTTTTTGATTATCTAACCATTCAATCTCTTCTATCTTCATTGTCCTCTTCCTGATCTTGTTGTTCCCTTTCTTCAACTCTTTCCTGTTTGTCTCATGATGACTGTATTGTGATCATGATAGCAGTGACGATGCTTGACCAAGCACATCAATCTTAACACAGGGCTGTAATTGTTTATTTTCCTTGAATGGTCTAATCTTTCCACTCTGACATGTATTTAGAGCTGATTTAAACTATTGTTATTTATTATTATTATTATTATTATTATACATGTTGAATAGATTTTTTTTAATTGTAACAATGTGCAAGTCTTTACAGTCTTGTAATCGTTCTATTATTAGTTTAATACATCCTTGCTGAATAATAAAATACATTTCTTAAAGAAATACTGACCCAAAAATGTGTGTGTGTGTGTGTGTGTGTGTATTCTTATGGTCATGTGCTCCTGATAAAACTGGAGTCCTCCTATGTGCATTACTTTAAACATTTATCAAAAGTATTATTCATTATGTGTAAAATGTTTAATTGAGAGGGGAAATGAGGCATCTTGAAACTCCTTAAATGAGGATATGGTTCTTTTAACTCAACCTAATTCAACCTTCCTGACACCGTGTCCCTTGATAATGTCTGAAAAAATCTTAAAATCACACCAATGAAGGAGGTAAAAATCATTCAGGATATGAAATAATCATATTCTCCTTAAAATTAAAACTTTAACTCCCTAAATGATGTCCTAAATGAGCTGTGAAGTGGACTCTTGACTTTGCTATACTGAGAGCGGTACACATAGTGAATCATAGTGTCATAAGATTATTATCTTGAGGTATATATAATATGATCTCTGTCTTTATCTGATAGGCCTCATCAGTGTCAGGAGCGGAAATGTAAATGAAGGAGGGATGATAAATGGATAAGTATAAAATCTTTGCTCTGTCCTTTTGACTGCTCTGACAGCTAGTGTTCCTCTGTCTTGTGCCACAGCCACTCCATTAGAGGAAATGAAAGCCCTTAGCTGGACTGAGCCACAATTACAGGCACAATTACTTCCTCTACACATCGCCCCAGATCCCTATGCCTGATTATCAAATTAGAGCTATTAATAAGCTTCCCGCTGTGTGCGTGTGCGATAGAGTTCTTTCTCTGCCACGAATACACATTAGCCTGTCTGTCTGTCTGTCGAAAGATTTAGTACAACTTATTGAACTGCATCGTCTCTACTAGTCTAATCTCCCAATCAGTGTTTTATTCACGAAAAATAGTAAATAAAACGGCTTGTTGAATGCCTTGTCATTTGACGTTACATTTACCTCAGGAAAGTCATTGTCCATAATGCTAAAATGGTGAATATATTGTTATATATTGCAATATTATGCATTCATTATATTTAACTTAACATGTTATGGTTTCATTTGATGTAGCCTCCTGATTGAATAAATCTCCTAATTATGTAAAAAAAAAAAAAAAAAAAAGCTATTGTGCTAAACTCAAATGCACAAAATGACTGAATCAAAAGGGCTAAATTTGGAGCAGGTAGTAGTCAGAAAAAGTGATCTCTTTACTTTCTGTCTTTCTTTCTCATTCTTATTGAATCACAATGTGTTGTAAACATACTAAATGTGCATCTCTTCAACTAAAACTGAAAGAGTAAGCCTAAATGAATTTACCTCAGAGAAAATTGGAATTGACTTGGCAGAGGAGGTTGAGGCCAAAACTGCTGAATTAAATCTGATATTAGGCAATGTGCTGGCTCGATTCAGGCCTCAATGCTGAGAGAACTATCGTATCTCTAAATCAGAGTTTGTATATTGAAAGTGTCGCCTAATTGAAAGTGATTTAGGGCCCTGCATTGGCTGGGAGTGCATATATAAATTCACCCCTGACGGCCACTCGAAAGTCTCCCGTATCAACATTATGAGGCATTTGGATGGCAGAGCCTTGGAGATTATGCAGCATGCAAATGATGAAGCTCGCTGGATGAGGTGATTTCAGTTCTGCCCGCACCCGTCCTCGCCCTCACACCCCAGGGGATAGGAGCTCTGCCTTTGTTCGCATATTCATTTTTCCCCCCTTGTTTTGCACATCCCTGGTTTTATATGCTCGCCTGCATGGGCATCTAAAGGCATCAGTGCTCACAGGCTCCTGGGACACAAAAAGCCATTTTTCATTTAAGACGCGTGGCAGCCCAGCACTCGGCCCAACCCCCATTGTACCTTTTTACCTTTTAATAATGCCCTCTTGGATATTTCAAGTTTTTTTTTTTTTTTCATATTTAAGTGGTTTTGTAGAAGATACTGTAACAATGGCTGAATAGATCGACCATGGAATAATTCTATAAAGTAGCATCTTTATTTTGCGATATTGGCATACATTTTTTAACTATGGAAACTATATTGAAAATTAAGCATTTCCTGTTACTGTATGTACTGTAAAATAGAAAGTATACCATAATGTGTTTGGATGGTTTTGTGCACTTATAGTAAAATCACACACAAAAACATCTCTAAACTAACTGTAAGCAAAGTTTTGCTTTCTTATTTGAAACCTAACAAACTTTTTGTGAAAGATTTTATTTACATTTGTGCATTTACCAAGAGCTTTCATCCAAAGCCACATACAGTGCATTCAATATACATTTCATGAGTCCATGCTCATGAAATATAGCTTGTGCTATATTTCTTTAAAAGAAATGCCTTTTGGTTTTGGATGGTTTTGTGCACTTACAGTAAAATCACACACAAAAACATCTCTAAACTAACTGTAAGCAAAGTTTTGCTTTCTTATTTGAAACCTAACAAACTTTTTGTGAAAGATTTTATTTACATTTGTGCATTTACCAAGAGCTTTCATCCAAAGCCACATACAGTGCATTCAATATACATTTCATGAGTCCATGCTCATGAAATATAGCTTGTGCTATATTTCTTTAAAAGAAATGCCTTTTGGTTTGATATTTTCTTACATAATGCAGAGATATTAAGTGTCCTACTGTTTGCGGCTGCTATTTTGTTATATTTATTATATATTATATACACACTATATTATATTATATACAAATTATATTTTATATACATTATATATGCTACACCCTCAAAAGGTCCCTGAAGGGTGCATTCTGGTACATATTAGTACCTAAAGTGTACATATTTGCAGAGCTGGGTAGATTACTTAGAAATGGTAGTCTGTTACTGATTCCAAATTACATGACAAAAATTGTAGTTAGTAACGTAATCAATTTCATTACACATTTATGTAATATAATCACACTACTTTTTGATCACTTTTAGATTACTTTTAACCTAACTCATTTATCACATTGATTTGAATAGGATAATCTTGTACCATATTGATATAAAAATACAAAGAGTAAGAAAATATATTCCATTCGTTGTTATTAACAACATGAAGTGCATTAAACATGACATTACGTCAAGGTTTCCTAAACTGGGGTTCATAAAGGAACTGCAGGGGGTTCGTGATTTTAATGAAAAGCTAATTAATAAAATCATAAAACTGTCAAATTAAAATCAAAATAAAACGCTTACTAAAAAAAATGAAATATTTCATTTGTTTACCTGCATGTCATGACCATTAACCAATGTCAACGAACAGTGAACATGCAAATACTTAGTTATTAAAATATGTTTTAAAATCAGTGGTAATATATATTAAATATATTAGGTGAAAGATTTTCAGATGACAAAAAAAAGTTTGGGAATGCCTGCATTACATGTGAATAAAAAATAACATTATTTTAATGTGTTTGAAAGACAAAAGCCTTCCAAAGACATTGTAATTCATTGATAAATAAACTACCGAGTCATAATTCAAATAAAAATTTATGTGTTCATCAGTAGTTGATGCAATGTTGAAACACTTCTTAAACCTGAAATGATTTATGTAAATCTAGTGGTCAGATGCTGTGTAGCCACCTGACTATTGACTGGTGTATGTGTGAATGTCCACAAACCTGGAAGACTTTCTGAGTGTATAAGCATAGGCTATATTAGAAAGGACCATTTAAAAGGTGAAAAAGAAGAATTAGGGAGAACCAATAAATTATGAACAATTTATTGCTATAGTATTTTGAAATTTAATTTTATCTAATTACAAGTACTTCATTTTTGGAATCTGAATACGTGAACCAGATTACATGTAATCGGTTACTACCCAGCTCTGCATATTTGTAAGGTACTGCCCCAGTGACCGCTTTTTTTCTGAGAGTGTATATATTATATAAATTTATATAATATATACAACCTCTATCACAGATGCTTTGGTTAATTATC